GTTATTCTTGTTATATTTTCTGCTTTTCTTTTTTTATTATTATGTATCAATTAATTTTTTTATTGTGCTTATTTAAAGGTTCAGTAGGTGATCTGCCAAATTGCTAACCGTTAGCCTAATAGCTTTGAAAACACAGTCCCTTCCCTATTTATTTATTTATTTATTTATTTATTTATTTATTTATTTTTGTGCCATTGTCATTATAGCTGCATTGTGGACTTTTATACAGATTTTTATATCTATCTTTACCATTACAGTTAGGGTCCATGAAAAAAAGATGTGAGTAGTGTTGTTATAAGAGTTCTTTCACTATAAATGTGTGCAAACAAGTTAAAAATGCAATATGAATGCACAGTTATTAAAGATTTGAATCTGATTTAGAGGGGGTGAAGGTGGATCAGTTATAAAATTAGGCCACAAAGACACAATGGCAGGGACCCCTCATCCCATTACATGGCTGCACTCTTACAATGACTCGCTAACAAAACATGTCTATATACCAGTACATAATACATGACCATATGTTGAAGTACTTGCAGCTCTGGCATGTCCAACCATGACTGTTACACATACATGGAATTCAGGGACAGGCCTCGGGGGACAGCTTTTTATTCAGTCATGACATCAAATGACAACTTGATGAATTGTATCTAACTAAATGATATATTTTTACTTTGTTTGCTTATTACAGTTTTTGTAACCTTGTTATATTCAGAGCTGATCTTAGAATTCTAGGAGCTCTAAGCAAAACTTTGTGAGGAGACCCATGTCAGCATGTTAAATGACCCTGAAATGACCCTGGCCTTGACCTCTTCAAAGAAGTTTTACTGTCAACAAACAACACTAAGTTAAAACAGTCAATAAAAGTAACATTATTAAAAAATAAAATAAAAAATGGTATGATAATTCTAATAGAAATAATCTAAATGAAATACAGAAATGAAATAAATGAAAAACACATAGATAATATTTTACTATTCAGAAAGTGAGTCAAATCTCATCCCATATTTTCTTTACAGGTTTCAATTAAGTAAACACTGATTTAAATTACATTTATGATATTTATTCATTGAAGAGCAGGGAATGTTATTCGGTGATTCTCTCATTTGCTGTTTTGTTACATTAAAGGCACAATATGTAAAATATTTATATTAAAATATCCCAAAATCATTACAACAGTATTTTACATTTTGTTGAATTTCATTTAGATTATCCCAAATGTTTCATGGAGAAATAAGCATTTTTAATTTGTGACACTCTCCATATTTTCATGTTTAAGCACCAAAGGCAACAAAGTCAAAATACTTTCTGGTTAGTGAAGTAAAAAAGTTTCACATTCGATCACACAGGCATGCATATTGCTAAAGCAAAGAAGAAGAAAAAAGTGGTCAAAAGTGGCTAAAATGTTTTAGACAGTTTACGAATATCTGCAGGCCCGCCAGCCTGGTGAAAGGTTTTTTTTTCTTAAAAAGTGGACTATTTTCTATTTAATTATGAGGTTTAAATAGGTTACATTTTAGTGACATTTTAAGCACTATTTTTTTGCTGGATTAGCTTGTTGAATGGTCATCATAACCACAGTTTTGATGTACTAAAAACATAAAAATTTACACTAATTATCATTTACATCATAATATACATCATATATTCATCAAATCATATATCATTAAAAAAAATTTGAATCTTTTAAAGTTTTAAATTAAAAACTGTAGACTATTGTAATTTAAATATCATCCATTTAAATAGCAAACTGGCCCACACATTCCACTTTCCTCAGTCACGCTGAGGCAACAGCCAAAACAGGATTCCGCTTGGTTTTAAAGCCTTTTTCGATGCAATTTTTTCATAATTTATCATAGCAGTCAAAATAGGACAAATCATCACCTTGGAATCGAAAGGTTCTATCTGTGTTCTAAATGATTTCGAGATATTGAGCTTCAAAGTTTTTGCATTCCATATACCAAACAATATGTGTGTAACAGTTCTCTTTTATACAGTAACATGACAGGGACTTTAAATGGACTCTAAACGCAAATTATCAAAATTATCTTCAATTTGTGAATTGGAGTAAAAATGCAGATAGAACCTTCTAATTCTAAAAAGTTATTTTCTGCTTGAAACTATAAGTTTTTATCTGGCTGATCATTAATTGAAGCGTTACTTTTCAACAAATATAATCAGTCTGCTTATTAATTTAATTTTGAAAAATGGTGTTGTAACAATGTTGATGTTTAAGAAAGTTACATTTTTGCGTTCTGGAACATTTATTAAATGTTTTAGGATTCATATTTTTTCTTGTATAAATTAAGCACACAAGGCTGCGCTAAATATTTTGTCCAGTGCAGATGTTAATTTTATGTAATTAATATGCTAATAATATTTTAAATATATAATATAATATTCATTTTATGCTGTATATAAACTGTTTAATTATATTTATTAAATAATGTGGATAAGTTGGCGGTTCATTCCGCTGTGGTGACCCCAGATTAATAAAGGGACTAAGCCGACAAGAAAATGAATGAATGAATATATATATATATATATATATATATATATATATATATATATATATATATATATATATATATATATATATATATATATATATATATATATATATATATATATATATATATGTATATATGTATATATATACATACACAGTTGAAGTCAGAATTATTAGCCCCCCTGAATTATCAGACTGCTTGTTTATTTTTTCCCCAATTTCTTTTTAAAGAGGAGAAGATTTCTTTCAACACATTTATAATCAAAATTGTTTTAATAACTCTTTTCAAATAACTGATTTATTTTATGTTTGTCATGATGACAGTAAATAATATTTTACTAGATATTTTTCGAGAACCTTCTATACAGCTTAAAGTGACATTTAAAGGCTTAACTAGGTTAATTAGGTTAACTAGGCAGGTTAGGGTAAAGTTACTGTATAACAGTGGTTTGTTCTGTAGACTATCGAGGAAAAATATAGCTTAAAGGGGCTAATAATTTTGTCCCTAAAATGGTGTTTTTAAAAATGTTAAAAACTGCTTTCATTCTAGCTAAAATAAAACTAATAAGACTTTCTCCAGAAGAAAAAATATTTTCAGACATACTGTAAAAATTTTCTTACTCTGTCAAACATCATTTGGAAAATATCTTAAAAAGAAGAAAAAAAATTAAATGGGGGCTAATAATTCTGACTTCAACTACATATATTACATATATATTATTAATAACTATATATATATATATATATATATATATATATATATATATTCATTAATTTTCAGCTTAGTCCCTTTATTAATCTGGGGTCGCCACAGCGTAATGAACTGCTAACTTAGCTAATTTATATGTTTTACACAGTGGATGCCCTTTCAGCTGCAACCCATCACTGGGAAACATCCATACACACTTATTCACACTCATTTAATCACTTTAACTATGTTAAATGTAACTTTTCATCTCAATGTCAAAAATGCTTCTAAATCATCACATCTACACACATCTGTTCAGTTTCAGCTTTCTTCTCAATTTTGAGACGAAACAATTTTGTGTTTCTTTCTGGTCTTTCCCGCTGTCAGCGGAGCAGTCTGACAAAATGACAAAAAATCCTGATTGGTCCTTGTTTGTGCATCCATGATTAGCTCACAGAAAGAACGTAATAGAGCCAAGAGTTCGACTTTGTAGACAAAATCTCTTTTGTTTTTATATTAAGTCTTATGATGTAAACAACTTCACATGTAAATAAATGTAAACGACTAAAAAACCTCACAAAATGTTAATAAAATAACATTTAATAAGAATGTGAATTATACAATTTTAACAAATATGTCAAATAGAACCTTTTAATTGTATGGGACAAATTCTGGACCATTGTCAGTGAGGGGTGGGTTTGTAGCATTGTCTATGTCCAGATCATCAAAACTTCATCTTGATACAATGTGCAAACCAGGTCTTTCATAGACATTAAGTGCGCTTGTGAACATGAACCACCATACTTTATAGCTCTATAGCTTTAACTGCTATAGCAGTTTTTTTTCAGCTGACTAACTGTACACTTAACTGGTGTTTCTGAGTTACATTTATGGTTATGTGACAATTCTGTTTGAAACATTGATTGGGTGTTCGTTCATGATAAAGTTTGTTCATGTTTATTTTATGCTTTAACCCTTTAACTGCCCCACCAAGAAAAAAAAGAAATTGGGATTGCATTTCTTAACCCCTAATGTCGCTAGTTGACACACTCAATGCATTTTTCAAAAAACATCCCATAATTTGTAAAATTATAAATCTCTACCAATTGGTAGATATGTCGGTTTATGGTAAAAGTACCAGAATTAATTCATATACTGGAAAAATCTCAAAATATGAAGTATAAGACCAATTTATTTAAAAAGAAAATCAAAATAAAACATTTTTGAACACTAAATCGTCTTTTTTTGAAGAAGAAGAATGCCATAAAATATTTCAGATTCTCATTTAACATGCTTTCGTTTTTTTTTTATACAATAAAACCAAAATCAAGTGTTGTAGATTAACAGGGTTATGTTTGTTATGTTTTTTTGATTTTGTATTGTAAACTAACAATGCTGAGTATGTAAACCATTATATAAAACATTCATTATTTAAATGACTTCAACATTCAAAATCTGGTCAACCAAAGCAGGCAGTTCTGAAGCTGTAAAATGAAAGATGGTTGGTTCAATTTTTCATTCTTCACACTCTTCCTTGATCTGAAAGCAGGTATACAGGGGTTTCCCTGATATCAAAATTGCTTCGTTTAATTAAAATTTAATTAAAAATAAATGTGTGAGGGCTGCAAAGAACTGCTTAGTGTAGGCTTAGTAAATGGACTGGAAAAATTTGTGGTTGAAAGCAACCCTAGTGCTCTCATATTTTATTTTTAAAATAGGGTACACTTTAGGGGTACACTTTAGGGGTCAGCTATGTAAAAAAAAATCTTTTAGTTCAGCCCCTTTCGCAAATATATGCATGACGTAAGCAGCGGATTCTTGTCTGTGCGCAGCTCATTAAAGGGCTTTTCTCATGAGAAAGAATGTGATTGTGCTGTAGTAAGTGGGTGTGTCTCTCAACCTATAAATACAACCCGTGAGTTCTTTTTGACGTAAACTAGTGAGGGAATCTTATCACCCATCTGTCCACGCCGTTATAGGTAAGCTCATCAACTTTTTTTATATTGATCAAAGTTATCTTAGATTTAGTTTTCATCTTAAAATAGGTTCCATGCTAACTTTACGCCAGCTGCATCCTTTTAATTAATACAATTCAAATTAAATGAAGTAAAACTGTATTAAAACTATTAATACAATATCTTTATTGCTATTTGTAGGACTGAAGGACATGTCTCTCCGCGGAATTTTCGCGTTCCTGCTCTTTCTCGCGTGCGTCTCACAGCTCATCTTAACTGCTGAGTGCACCAGAGGAGCCAGGAGGAAAGGAAGGAGGCAGGAAAGAAGAGGTGATAATAACATTAACGTGATGAAAGGAAAGTTCATAATCAATGACAAGACGCAGCAGTGCACGTGGGTGGCGCGCGGAGAGGACAAGTACACCATGAACGTTACATGCAAGCCTGGGAGCGGGGACGGATTCACCTGTAAATACACTGCCAAGCCGGCAACGTGCGCCGAATATTCGTCTAATCCCAAGGGCTACTGGAAACAGATAGCCAGATCTCTGCAAAAGCAGAAGAAACTTTGCGTGGATCCGCGCGCACTGATCCGGGCGGGCATGTGTAAGCGCGCGCCCCTGGACGCGCATTTCAAACTCACAGAAGCGTCACAAAAGAAACCCCCCTCGACAGAGAAAACCCCCACAGCCACAAACACACCGCCTCCGGACACCGAACAAGGGTGCACAGAGCGCATCGATCACCGCGAGCTCGCCAGAGAGAAGTGTGGAGATTCCTGGGCGAGTCTATGCGCGTTCCTCTTCACTGTAATCCAGAGTGGAGACTGCTGAGCTTTTACTTTTTTTTGTTACGTTTGTTTTGCTTTTCCTCTGATAGACTTTCAAGACTACGTTTTATGTTGTAAACAGATAATGCACTGTACTGATTGTTGGTCACGTGGGTCAGTAGCCCGCCACGTTTACCTTTTACGCTTACCAGGGACGTTGCTAGACCCCCCTTAAGTATGATGTCTCCCATAAAAGATTGAGTTACAGGATGGATGTCTGTTAGAAATCATTCTCAGTCTTATAATTTGCTCAATGATTGAGGAAGTAGATGATTAGGAAAACGTTAATTAGAAATAGTAAGTGATCACTCATCAAAGTGAAAAAAGGTGATACGAGTAATGGGGGGCGTGTGCCCCAGTAGAATTTTACTGTATGTCTAGCAACACCCCTGGCGCTCACCATAGAGCCTCTAAATTTAATACAAGCAAGTTTGTTGAATCCATAAACCAATTTTAACATTGTTTTTTTATGCAAAGGGATAATAGTGCTGTGTATTTAAATTATGTTTGATATTAAATGTTGTTATTTATTTATTAATAGAGCATTTTAAGGGATTTGGCAAATGTTTAGATTTAATATTTGTTTAGCTGTCAAAAGTTTATTGTGCCATATTTTTGCCTTTATTCATGATTATTAAAAACCAACCACTTTGTAAACTTTGATTTACATTTCAACAGAGTGCAAGCTGCTCATTTTATGATTTGCTCTAACAGTCAACTGTGTAAATATGTCAGTTACTTCTCTTTATAATAATAATATAATAATAATAATTGATCTTCATCTTGTACTCATATCCAAATGTTACTCTCTTTCAGCAAATACACCATGTTCTTCATTTTACTGTAAAAGCACAATATATCCACTGTTTTGCATTGTAACCGTATTTATGACATTCAAAATAAATATTTTTGCCTACTATTTTCTTTAAATAGTATTTGTGTTGAGGGTTATTCTGCTCCTGTGATATGGCCTCAAATATTTCAATTAAATTAAAAACATGTGACAGTAAATGAGACTAAACAGGAAACAAATCTTATATTAAACATTCCTGTTCCTAGTGCGCTCTCAGAAAAAAGGCACACGGTGGTACACATAATGTTCCTTGACCTTGAGGACCAGTTTTGTACCTTTGTAAAAATTGCACCGTATATGGTGTAGAAAAGACCTTATGATGCTGTTTATGGTACAACTGAAATAAAGGTACAGAATTGTTCTCATATAAAAGATACAAAAGTGTTGGACAACTCCTTCATTACAATATCTATGAAAACAAATATTACTGGAAAGGCAAAGTGATTTTATGAATAATTTCCTTATTAAAGCAAGAGTCATCATTTAAACGTATGCTTAAAGAAACTGAAAAATATTCATTATTAAGTTCTATAATATAATAATACAACACAACTGGTAAAACATAAAATTATAGGTATTGTAAACTAAATAGGGTATTTAAAAAAATGTTTGGTAAGCCTTAGACTCTAAAAACCCTATCATGCGCACACATAAACTTTCATTGTCTACAGAGCAGCGGAAAAGATAAAGTAACCAGATCTCAAACAGGTGTGTGTCTGGTGCACCTTGCAATGTTTTGTGTGTGTGTGCGTGTGTGTTCTTCCATTCATCAGTGTCACATCCAGTCTTCCACAGACTCTTTCATGTGTCTACACACTTTAGTAAAGATTTCTTTCTTATCTAATGTTTGGAAATATATGTTTCCAAGGCTTGGCTACTGGTCAGGGTAAACCGTTTCAGTCTGTTTAGTATTTTATTTTCATTCATTCATTCATTCATTCATTCATTTTCTGCTTAGTACCTTTTTTAATCAGGGGTCACCACAGCTAAATGAACCGCCAACTTATCCAGCAAATATTTTTACGCAGCGGATGCCTTTCCTGCTGCAACCCAGTACACACATAAACTACGGCCAATTTAGCTTATTCAATTCACCTATGGTGCATTCTTTGGACTGTGGGGGGAAACCGGAGCACCCGGAGGAAACCCACGCCAACACAAGGAGAACATGCAAACTCCACACAGAAAGGCCAACTGGCCCAGCCGGGACTTGAACCAGCCACCTTCTTGTAGTGGGGCAACAGTGCAAACCACTGAGCCACCATGTTGAACATTTTATTATTATATCAAGCTAATAAAATCTAAAAGTATTTTTAAAAAATGATGTACAAGAAAATGTAATTCACGAATGGGCCAAAGAATTGGCTGGGAGAATGTTTCCATAAGAAACTTAATATTATACTTTATTTGACTTAATATTCTACTTAATATTATTCTTTACTATGATCACCATGGTAACAAACCCAAAAGATTACATAATCATCATAGACTGGGAGGCAAATTTTGAATGAACAAAGTGTTACTTTTTGTCAACACATTACACACAGATCAAAACCCTTGCCTTTTGACCTCAATGGATGATTTGTCACACGTCTTGATATGCTGTCATATAAATGGAATCTCACAGCAGCCTCACAAAACATGGTCATGTGATTATGGTCAAGGTTCCCAGTCAAGTGAGGTGTTTGAAATGATACACGTCAGAAACTTTACTCACACAGGTAAAAACCATGCACTGCTACTCAAAGGTTTATGGTCTGATTTTTATGCAAGACAGTTCATTTGATTTGGCAGGGATGAAATTAACTGATGTGAAGTGACATATTTTACAAAATCAAATGACTTTCTCTCTTTCTATTTATTATTATTTTTTTAATTGTTGCCACGAAATGATTTCTAAATGATTCTTAGAAGACAATGGCTGTTAAAAATCCAGCTTTGAATTAAAGGAATAGGTTGTATTTTAGTAAATATTGAAATACACAGAGGTTAAGTTGTAATATTTCCAAACATATATATATATATATATATATATATATATATATAGTTTCACTTACAGATGTTGTCAAACACATTTTGAAGTTGTCAAAATGATCCATGTTCACATGCCTATAGAAATAACTATACTTTCCTACTGTGTAGTGTTCGCAGACAGTGCATGAGATGAGAAGTACCCGGATAATGGATTCTGACGGACACTTTACTATCACACACACAGAAGAGGATTTATGAATGGAAGGGAAAAGATGCAACTGACAAAGGTAAGTGATGATGAAAACATATTAAGTTTAATACATCTCACTTCCATTTATCCCCATAGTCATATAGAACTTTGAAATAAGTAGTAGCTTACAGTACCTTATATTCCTTATGTAGACAGAACATTGTTTTAGGTACATGATAATTCATTCATTAATTATCCTTCGGCTTAGTCCTTTATTAATCAGGGGTCGTCACAGCAGAACAAACCGCCAACTATTTCAAGACATATTTTATGCACCGAACGCCCTTCCAAATGCAACCCAGTACTGGGAAACACTCATACACATTCTCATTCACACACACAGTTTAGTTTATTTAATTCACCTATAGCACGTCTTTGGACTGTGGGGGAACATGCAAACTCCACACGGAAATGCCAACTGGTCCTGCTGAGGCTCGAAGCAGCAACATTTTATCGATAACCTTAATCTTAAATGTCACAACCACAACCATTGACTGAACATCTGTTGCAAAGTTAACTGGAGATTTTTCTGCAGATTTTAATTCATCCTCTGACTGATTGTTTTGTGAGAGATGTGTGTGTGTCTGTCTGAAAACAACACAAATCTTGACTCGATTACATTACTGATAATGCGCATTAATCAAGATAGACTAAATGCTGGATTCTTTAATGTGAGGTTCATGGCATAAAATAATATGAGCAAATCACTGTCATTTCCTTACACAACTCATTGTTCCTAAGTTTTGGTATAAAAGACATGAAATTCAAAATGAATAAATCATTTAAGAATGACCCATCAGGGTCAGGCAAAATCTGCTGTTATTATTATTTTTTTGCTATTTCTGCACAGATTTTTTGTTAAAAATCTGCAGATTTCAAGAGTTCAGCTGATGATTGATTATAAAGTGAGTTTGGTATGCTGTCCAGGGAGAGAGCCTTTGTAGGTCTTGACAACTCTCCCCCCTTATTCAGGGCAAATGACAAATTAGGCATCGCTATGTAGAGATATACTGCTGGTTAGCAGCTCGATAGTGCCAATTTGGGTTGGTCAATTCACCAATGACATGTAGCTTTTGACTGTGGGAGGAAACCCTCGTGAGCACAGAGAGAACATGTAATCTCGACACAGAAACGTCGACTGGCCTGTTGAGAGCGTGAACCAGTGACGTTCTTGCTGTGAGGCCACAGTTCTGACCACTGGGCCACCGTGCAGCCCTATTAAGGGAAAGGAGGAGGAGTAGGGATGGAAGGGAAAATTCTTCAAGGCAAAAATAACTGTAGCAATGAATTAGGAATCATCCAATTTGTGAATCATGCGTTAGCTAATGTGGGATCAGCTGTGATCAATCATAAGCATGTGCTTCTCTTAAAATTTGTTTATTAATAAATTTCACTTTTGTAGAATGCTTTTGAGAGTATAGTAACAAAAAACCTAAAATATCTAATGATACAGGTCTTGTGAAACAAAACAATCGGTCTCTATAAGAAATTGAACATTATTTACAATGAACTATAATCTGCAGTTTATTCAAACAGATTTCAGTGCATGTGTGATTGTTGTTCAGTGTAGCTCTGTTGCTTTTGATGACAAATGTGCAAGGGTTGCTGACGCAATCACCAATATCTATCAACCGATATCAACAAACTGCGTCACCTGACCTTCAGTCCAATCTGAACTACATCCAATTGTGCAGAGATCTGCTTGCGCGGGCTATGGATTAAGGCTAATAATACTGTGAATATTGTTCAATTTCGTACACGAACAGATTGTTTTGCTTAAAAATTCCCCAACATCTTGTATAATCTGTGAGTAAACTATCAGGGAATTAACATTTTTGACCTATCCCTTTAAGGTGGTCCTGTATATCAGAGACACGAGTTAGTACTGTAGCTACTGCAGTACTACAACTTTAGCATAATTTGATGCTTATTAATAGTTATTAAGGTGCTATGAAATAGTTAGGTTTAGGTATTGGATAGTGTTAGGGATTCAGAATAGGATAATGCAGGATATCTACTATATAAGTACTAATAAACAGACAACATCATAATAATAAGCAGGCACTAAGCCATAGATTTTGTAAATTGGTCCTTAAGTGTTTAGTTAAAAAAAGCATTTGACATTATTGAAAATATATTTGACATCTTATTATATATTTAATAGTATATTTTAACATGAACACTTCTGATTACATTCAAAAGTACTATTTAATAACTTTACAATGTATGAACAAAATACAAAATTAAAAATATGAATTAAAAACTAAAAGACATTTGAAATGAATTTAAACTATAATGTTTTTACATTTCTTTAGGTGTCCAAAGCATTTGATTCAATTTTCACAAGATGTTCCATAATTAACATCTGGTACTTGAGGACTGATCCTGGATCTGGATACCTCAGGTGTCAAGCCAGTACTTGGCTTTAAGAGAGAGAGGTTATGTGACAAATCCACTGTTTGTTCAGCACAGAGGAAACTGATCTAAAGTACCCATTTCAGGCCATCAAAATGGCATTGTTGTGTAAATGAAAGGCCAAAAGTTTTCCGTTTTACGGTTGAAAAGATTGTTCAGCCTTAATTCCTATGTAGATATGATGAAAGATTTAGACAGCATAAGTTTATTTCTAATCTGCATTTTATTGTTGATGTTGTCAATGTAAAAACCTGCTCAAAATATTACACACACACACACACACACACACACACATGCATCACTGCCAAGAATGCTGTTATAAAGGCAAAGTAGTCCTATCAATGACCATTTCAGGTTATACTCTGATTACTTTAGGCACGCACGCACGCACACAGACACACTGGTTTTTCATGTTTTATGAGGACTTCTCATAGACGT